AGAGAATCAATCGGGTGTATCCAAACTCAAATCACAGCATTCAGGGGAAAGGGCTGCAACTCAGGTGGCTATGCCATATGATCTGGTGACAAAAGATAGGCAAGAATGATGGGGGTATGAACTTCTAAGAGGAATGGTGGTGGGGGCAGGTATGAACTTCTAGGAGGAATGATGCGAGCAGGTATAAACTTCTAGGAGGAATGATGGGAGCAGGTATGAACTTCTAGGAGGAATGATGCGAGCAGGTATAAACTTCTAGGAGGAATGATGGGAGCAGGTATGAACTTCTAGGAGGAATGATGCGAGCAGGTATAAACTTCTAGGAGGAATGGTGGTGGTTGCAGGTATGACCTTCCAGGAGGAATGATGGGGGGCAGGTATGAACCTCTAGGAGGCGGGACAGAAAGAGAAGCTAAAGCTGGTCCCATACCTCCTTGCCCTGTCTGCAGCCCCCTGGCAGTGATGGGCTCAGTTTGCCAACTGCAGTGCTGATGGTTCAGTAGAAGAGCTGGCAGATAGGATGGGATGGGCCGAGGGAACAGGAGCTGGCAGGCTGGAGAAGACATTTGAGTGGAAACAGCAGGGTGGGGACTGGGAGCCCACAGCCCCTCCAGCCCAAGTGAGGCACCCAGTTTGCTGGGCAACTCACAACATGGTGCCAGCCACCCCCATCAGCAGCCGCCACAGGCTGCATGGGAGCTGCAAGAGGAAGACTTTGAACAAAAGCCACACTGAGCTGACAAGTGCCTGCTGTGTACACAGATATTTGGCTCTGGCCTCACTGGCAGCCCAGGGGGTTCTAAGATACCCAGCTGGCCATACAACAGGTATCAGCCTGGGCCAGGGAGCAAGGGCAGACTGTGCCGAGGCCAGGGTCTTGGCAGCAAAGAAACATCCCCTGTCACCATCCTAAGGGGTCTGACTACCCTAGAGGAGGTTCTAGGCTCAAACCAAACTGAGTGGCCAGGGAGGGGAAGAGAATACAACAGCTTGAGCCAATATTCCATGAACCTCCAGAACCCAAGATCTCAGCTCTATGTGCTCCAGAAACCTAAAGAGAAAAAGTCAGTCTGAGCAGAGCTATGGAAGGGGCAGCCATGTTGTCCCCTTTGTTGGTGGAAGGAAGAAGTTTCTGTTTCCCTCAGTGTACACAAGCCAGCATGTTCTCCATGAAGTAGTACCTTCCTTCCTCTGAGGTCTGGGTTCCCTTTCAGCCTCACCCCAGAATCTTTCTCTCCCAGAGTGGGGAGGGATGGGATGAGGAGGAGGCTCACTGGGCATTCTGCAAACCCCCAGAGAGCAGAAATGCTTGACAGCCTGGGAGTCAAACCTAGGACCCATCTCAGCCAGGAGGCCCTTTTAGTTACAGAAAAAGGCAGGGCCCAAAGATGATATGCTACAGACTCAAGGGCACACAGCCAGACCAACTCTGGCCAGAGTCCAAGGCTGCAGCCTCTCGGGGAAATGTACAAGGCAAGACTCAAGGAAGAGGGACATCTGTCTTCAAGGGCTACAGGAGAATAAAGATACTGAGAACAAGAAGGGGAACAAAGAACAGCTGTGAGGCGGACAGTCAGCACCAGACCCGATCGATCCCCAGGGTT